TGTGTCAATGGCACGGTAAAAGCATGCTAGCAGCACATAAAAAGCATACTTTGGCACACTTTTTCCATGCCATTGGCACAATTTAAGTGTGCTTTTTCTAAAAGTATGCTTTTCCGGGACAGTGTAGTTGAATTAAATGATCAACGATTGCTGCCTCAACGAAAATGTTGCGTTTAACCTCATCCTGTTATAATACTCTCCTTGCCTTCACATATTCTAATAGCGTACATGATTACTTCAAAACTCGCGCATTGTTGACCTCTCTCTGTCTGACGGATAAAAAGTTCCTCCAGACAGTGACAGAAGCTAAGAAACAAAGCAGCTGTATATAACGTAGATGATTGAGAAAAGGGAAAACTTGTTTTCTCTCCTTTTGCTGAATCTTATAATATTATAATCAAAATATCAACCGTAACTTTTTTTTACAATTATCCAATGAGAAACATCAAAATCGAGAGAAAATAGATTGTATCACTACATGCGTGCTTTCAAATCGACTTTTTATAAATAACGTAATGAATTATGGATCGTAGAAATCTAACTAATTTTTGTCATAAGACTCGGTGGGACATCTACTATTGACGTGATTTTCATTCAATCTAAACTTCCAGAACGAAAGAAGTTAGAATCTGCCAATAAGAATCTTAAATTGTACCGTTTCAATCTATAAGCTTTTTGATGTGTGTTGTAGGTGAAAAAAAGACGCTTATTTCATGCGCTTTGTTCGGTTTCTACGACACATATTCGTTGGATGAAAGTTTCGGATTTGAACAAGGATCAAATGGAACTTCGTTTTCTGCTTCCGTTTTTTAATGATCTATTTTAGTTGCTGAGATATACACTATTCTACACTGCAAAATACTCTGTAATGTAGAATAGTATATATCTTAGTAACTAAAATAGATCATTAAAAAATGGAAACAGAATATGAAGTTCCATTTGATCCTTGTTCGAATCCGAAACTTTCATCCAACGAATGAGTGTCGTAGAAACCGGAAAAAACACTGACTGGATGAGTCATCATGACCTGAAAACGTATCATTTTGCTTGATCATGAAGTTTATGGTCGGTATTTCCTTCTTATCATCACAGTTTTCGTTCTGTAAATTTAGGATATTCTAGTATAAGAACAATTCTTCTCCGTATGAATAGTCAGTTACAATCCGTAGCAAGAACGGCAACCAACGATATAAATAATCCAATTGATTTGAGTCAGTATAACAACAATAACGGAATAAAAACAAATTCAATGAATCTGAATTTAAATAATAATATTAATAATAATAGTACAACAACTGTTGTACCACAAGTTCCTCCGAAAACAGTTCATACACGTCCAACAACAATAGTAACGGCACCCATTAGTTACTATACTGGAGAGCAAAATTTTTCTAGTTTTATAAATAACAATAGTCAATTTACAGCAAACAATCAAACAGTAGCAAAAGGTACGTATGCACAATGACTTTTTCATAAGAAACGTTAGAGATTGCAGTGACTGTCAAATATCGACGGGGATTAGCAGAAATGAGAAAGATTCCCTTCTCAGAAGTTAGTAGTCTGCTGTATTATCTAGTCTTTTTACTTCTCTATCTGTTCGCTTATATGCTAATTAAAGTGAGTAATCCCTTTTTATTTATTTTAGCTGTCAAACTATCGGTGCCATCTTCAAATTCTGTAAGGGCGTCATCATCAATGGATAATTGTGACAGTCCTCCAGCTTCTCCAAGCTTTGCATATTTAACAGAACCGATTGATAAAAATCTTGAATGTGCAATATGTTTACAACGTTTGAGAGATCCACGCGCTCTCCCATGTCAACATGTTTATTGTTTGGATTGTCTTCAGTCATATGGCCGAAAAAATCTTGAAAATCGTACACAAACAATTAGATGTCCAATATGTAATCAAACAGTACCATTTTCATCTGCTGATAAATATCCGGCATCCTACATTCATCGTAATTTACTCGAATTAAAACCAAAAGATTATCATATTCTAGCGAAATGTACAAAGTGTTTTGAAAAAACTCAATTACAGGTATGCAACTGTTGTGATTATCTATTATGTACATGTTGTTATAATGAACATCGTCAATTAATCTATGATAATATTGAACTTGTCACACAAACATGTCAATATCGTTTAAAATGTATTCAACAAACAAAAAATCAATTAAAAATAACAAAACAATCATCGTTGTCAACAATAAAACAAGTTGAAACGGCATATGAAAATTTAGAACGAAAAATAGCTGACTATAAAAAACATGTTTTACAACGTTTATATAAATATAATAATAATCTCATCGATATATTTTGGTCAAAATTAAATTTATCATCGATCGATTCTATCGAAAAAATTTTAAAACAAGCTGATGATTTATTGAAAACAAAAAACGATCAACAACAAAAATTTGATGATGTATTAACAGTCTATTATTCATTAATGTCGACCGCTGAACAGTTAGAACATGCGAGCACGTTGATTAATACGTATGATTTAAAGAAATTATTGAAAAGTGATATACAATTATGTGGACAAGGTTTACCACAAATGAAAATCTATATTAAAAAGTTTGATGATAATGAAAAAGATGAAGAAGAAATTACATTGTTACCACCAGTATTATTATTTGATGGAAGTTCATCGAGTACAACAGTTAGTTCGTCATCAACTAGTTCATCTACCTCAACAACACCAATTGATATTAATAGACAACGACGAAAAAAACATGAACCAAAACGTTATATAGTTTCTCAGACTGAGGATGATGAGGAGGAATATGTGGAGAATAATCAAGAATACTTACCCATATTAAAAAAATTGAAAATTGAATGTGAAGTTTTAACAAGGAATATGTTTGATTTACTACCGGCATCCGAAAGCACAGTAATACCAAATATGTTACCGTCACCAACATTATCATCGAATGCTTCGGTGGAATTTTTAGAGTCAATATTGAACGATGATAGATTAGATGAGGAGGAAGAAGAAAGCGGTGACGATGATGATGTAGTCTATTTAGAAACAACAACAAAAAATGACACTGCTACGATTATGGATACAGAAATAACAGATAACTTTGATTTATTATTTCAACCAGCATCTTATTAAAGACCGACACACATTTTATCTACGTTATACATATGAATAAAATAATGCTACTGTAGTTGTTATTTAAATTTGTTTATGTGTGAACGATACATCTTTTTTCTGCTTTTTCTAATCCAGAACTTCAAGGATAGTAATTGTTCATCATTATCATATAAGACAGAATTTGAGTTTTACTCTACCAGTATGACTGTTTTCAGAACAAACAGGTTCGGTGGAAAATACGTTAGGTTAAAGAATTTCCTATCGTTTCGAAAATAAACTCTATTTTTGTTGTATTTGATCTATGAGAGCATACCCTACGAATCATTAATAAATCGTATGTTTTATTTTCAATGTCTATCGATTTATTTTATTGTTGATTATTAAAACACGGAAATAACTGTAAATGTTTTACTAACACAAACAATTTTTACGTATACGTATTTTACAAAACATGAAAATGTCTGTTTCTATTTTCTAGTGGTAGAATTGTAGAAGTGCATATCCCGGAAGTTAGTTTAGCAATTTGAGTTTTTTTTCTCGTGTATCAATACAGCGGATTGCTAGCAAAACAGGTTTCAATTCATTTTATTTGAGAATGATCTATCGAAATATCAAATCGAAATAAAGATGATGATGATGAACAAAAGATATCAAACATGCATGCATGTTTGTTTGTTTAACCGAATCCATTATGGACGTAATAAGATGGTTTTTTCCTTTTACAGCTCAGTTTTATGTCTTTTTTTTGTTTGTTAATCTTGAAATTTTACTCAAATGATTTTGTTGTATGTGCGCTTGTTATGTTCCATGTGCGCGTATTGTTGTTCATGTGCATCAGATAAAAAAAGCGATAAAAAAAGAATAATGAATATATTTGTCGTCTTTTTTCTGAGAATTGATTAGACCTGCAATCTCCGATCATCGCTTAATTCATACGCTTTTGATAAGTGAGCAATATAAATTGTTCCCATTTAGTTCATATTTAATAATATGTTGCTTTATGTATAATAACTGTGGATTTTGATCGTACAATAGAAATGAATATCGAATGCTGCAAATGCTTACTTCCTAAAACTTCAGTTACATATGATTTCTGTTAAAAAAAATTGTTATTTCTCTCACATGTATAGTATTTAGAATGATCCATCGGTAAACAAAAACAGTTCAGATAGAATCAAACAAAAAACGACAATGCTTATGTTGTGGACAAGGGTTTGCTTGTTTTCAAGACGGCGAGTAAAATGTTCAAACTCTGTCGAGCTTAGAGATAACAGGAGTGATTCGAATCAAATACATACACATCTACTTGCTATCATAAGTTTTTGTTTTTATTTTGAATCATTATAATTACATTTACAGGTTCTAAGTGTTTTTTTCTTCTTTATTCTGTGCCCATCATTCATTACTGAATTCTGATTATCCTTCAACTGACTCGTATAATGATTTTTCACACGGCTGAACTTTAACGACACCATCGTTAACATTCTCTTCTACCAATAATGTTCATAAATCTCAATCAACATTATAGAATGTAAGTCATACAGACTATTCGACTACTTTCCAAGCACAACGTTCAAGAGATGTAAACTGGGGACAAGTCAGAAATCCTTAAGCCTTTAGAAACGATTTTTGACTAGAAAATTCGGCCCTGAGACCATTCAGGAAAATAGAAAAAATAAGCTTCTTAAAACCCAATTTTCTGAACTGGTTACGCCTTAAGATGGCTTATTTCGGCAAATCGACAGATGACACTTTTGATCGGGAAAATTATTCTTAATTAATTGCTGTCATATAATATATCGGTTTTTATTTCAGATGCTTTCGAAATTAAACTTTATTTTGATATTCTTCTGTTGCGTTATTTTTACAAGCATTCGTGCGTGTTCGATCACGTGTTTAAATCAAACTACAAAAGCCTTACCACCGCCTATATTTATCAATGATTCGGTAACTGACATCCAAATTCTCTTCGAAATCTCATGTATCGATCAAAATATTACACTATCATATATAAATGTTAGTCTGTCGCTCGATAATAAAAATGTTTTAGAGTTGAAAAGTCCAAAAGAGTTTCAGTTAGATTTTACAACGATACAGACACAAACTGGCACATTTAATATCACTGTACACGGATTATTGTTAGGATATAGGTACGTTCATTAAAATAAACAGTTCCATCCTTATTTATTTACTTGTTATCAATTTAGCCGTTTGTATCTTCATGTACAATATTTGAATTCGAATCATTCTATCTTGGAAAACATCACAAATGATTATGATGTTGATTTTGCTGTGAAACGTAAACAGACTGTGTTGGATACAATCTTCACTGTTGTTATCATTATTTTGGTCTCGATCGGAACGTTTCTTATCGGTTGTAAACTATTGACACAAAATCTCTTTCAAAATATTCGTCGACCTGTTCCCATTTTGATCGGATTATTTTCACAGTTTTTTTGTTTACCATTGGTGAGTTATAATTATAGTTTTTTTAATCTGCAACTTTGAAAAATAACTGATATTATCGAATGCTTCGTTCAAGAAACGTTAAGTACTATTGCCGTGCATGCTCAGCATTTGAAGAAGCAGTAATAGAAATGCTTACTACCTAGTCCCATTGAAATTTGTCTGTAGTTAATGTTCAGTCTCTGAAACTTATCGCGCTTGTTATTTGATTATCTTTTGCTTCTTTTTGCAGCTTGCATATGGACTCGCAAAAATAGTTAAATTATCATCATCAACTGCTCTCGGACTGCTAGCAACCGGTGCTTCACCCGGTGGTGGAGCTTCAAACATGTATGTGGCAATGTACGGCGGAGATATCAGTCTTTCAATGACAATGACATTTTGTAGTACAATAACAGCATTTGGTAAGTTACAAAATTGAATATTCAATATTTTTGTGAATTCCATTGAATTCTTTTGTCTCTTTTAAAAGCTACATTTCCTTTGTGGATTCTATTACTTGGTCGAGATTTTATTAATGTTCACACCGTTCACTTTCCATGGGAAAATATGTTTACAACGTTATTTGCATTGATTGTAAGTAATATTCATAAAGTATATATCTGAAAGCATGTGATTTCTTTTTGTTTTTTATTAGGTGCCAGCATCACTTGGTTTGGCATTACGATATTTTAAGCCAAATATCGCCGATCGTTTAACACGTCTATTACGTTTTATTACTATTTTTTTCATACTCTACATTTTAACATTTGGCATTTATACAAATCTTTATATTTTTAAATTGATTAATTATAAGATAATCATCACAAGTGCATTATTACCATGGACAGGTTTTCTTATTGGCATTTTCTTTGCATTAGTAACTTGTCAGACTCGTGAACGTTTGATAGCCATATTTGTTGAAAGTGGTAAGATAAAAGAAAAGTATAACACATCATCTAGTATTATTAGTTGATATATTTACTGTTTACAGGATTACAAAACACGGGTGTTGCCATATTTTTTCTTCGATTATCTTTACCACAACCAGATTCGGATTTAGCAATTATTGTTCCGATATTTGTACGTATATACAATGTATATGTTTTGACTAATGTTTATTTTGTTAAATTTTTTCAGGTTGCTATTGCTATACCCATTCCATTGTTAATAATTTATGTTCTCGTTAGTGGTTATCGTTACTATAAAAAACGAAAAACGGGTTTAACAACAACAGTTTCATCTGGAGATGAAAACGCTCGAGATGCAACTGAATATGAACGACTACCAAATACTGATGACGAAGCATAGATTGTTCTAAAACAATAGATATTTTCGAAATTATATGAGATGTTTAACATCGAATCTGAACGAATCTCTTGGACAAAAAGAAATTATTTTTCATCTGATTAGTTAGTCAATATCAACATTGTTTGTTTTTCTGTCAATGTATATTTTTGTTTTATGAAAATAATCTTCATTTTGTAATCTCATTCTTCTTTTATATTTTGTTTTTATCTATACAAAGTATCTTTAACTTCTTTTCTTATCAACTAGTGTCTTTTTTCTAAAATTCATTTGAGTTTTCTGTACATGTTGTGATAAAGAAAGTGAAAATATTCCTTTTGTTGATGTATTAACTTCATTGTGTAAAAAAGATAGTCATTAATCCTATTTATATAATCTTTCAAAAATCTGTCACTGTTCATTTTTATAACAGTTTTAAACTTCCAGTTTATTTTCGCCAATAATAAGTGTTTAAAAGATGATGATTGATTATTTACAATCTTTTCATCGGCTTTTTCTCGTCATTTTTAATTCCTACTTTAAACAAACACTAAAAAGTAAATTCACAAGTCCTTCGGTCCTTAGTCTAGTACCTCCTGAAAACAAAACATTTCACAATATTATACATGTTAAAAATTAATGAATCAAAACAAACCTCAAGTTTTCTCATTACAGCAGATAATCCAGCTAGATCTAAATTCGACGCAGCTAATACTTCGTTTAATTGTGCTTCTTTCTTTTCAAAACTATCGGCCAATGTACTCAATTATTTTTTCTAATAATAAATTTTTCAAACTAATCTTTTATTGAACTTCATTAATGGCTTTGATAAACTTATTATACAGTTCATATCGTTCTTTCTGCATCTAAATGAGGTAAAATGACAAAACGATTCGACAAAAACGAGCCGATAAAAACATATGATTTCGAAACGTTGTAACAATGCTTCATATTTCCATTTTAAGTTTTCTTGTTCGTTTTCATAAGTGTTTTCAAACGATTTTTTGTATTCTAAATATACACGACACATAAAGTTATCTGTCTATAGAGATGTTAAGGGCCCTCTCCCCCCTTCAGAAATGTTGGTTTTCGGTCGATTTTGAGATACGCACATGGAAAAATAGCCTGAAGGGTCTACTTCCAGAATCTGTATTGCTTTTGGTTACAAAACTGGTTTCCCGCGGATTCTGAGCAAGTTTTCTAAGAGCCTCGAAAAACCGGGTCTTCAAATAATAACTTTTTCCTGAATACTTATGCAATTAAAATTTTTCTGAAAACACAACTTTGTAGAGCAAACGTTTCTGATCAAAATAAGACCTTGCACAACTCTGTATAACCTTGCACCAAAAACTTACAGGCATTTTGCTATAAGTCCTAAAATCGAGTATTTCGTACAGCGTTTAATACTGCGTTTTCTTTATATAAGAGTTACACCTGGAGTGCGTCCCAAGATTTTTAATAGCGGTTTGTCGTAGAGAGTTCATTCTTTTTTTGTTTAAACATGGAAAGGAAACTATATGGACTGACCGGCGTTGATTTTTGAATTAGGTCTTAGTTTTTTGTCAAACTGAGGATTTTTCGGGTTTTGGAGGTTATTGGTTGTCTAGAAAACCAATAAAGGCTTAATTGGAAAATCGGCGCCGGTCAGTCCATGTATTTTGGTGTCTAGTTTAAAATAAAACAAACCTGAACTCTCCAGTTTGAAGTATATTAAAAAACTTTAGGACGCACTTCAGGATCCTTTTTGGACCTTGATCTCTGGAAAACTCCTAAACCGTAAGACTTGGAGACAAAAAAATTTTTCATTCCCATAACTCATTATGCCTAACATTTATGGAAAGTTTCATCAAGATCGGATGTACGGTGTCGGAGATATTTCTGAGGGAGGGAGGGATCCTTAAGAGATATCAAAGGAACGATAAATTTTGTGATATGTAACATACCGCCAGCAAAGCTTTATCTTTCTTGTAGTTTTCTGATCGTCTTCGTAATTCTTCTGTTTCTTGTTTTGCTGCTACCAATGGCTCTCTCATTCTTCTATTTTCACTTTCAACTTCACGCATACGTTTTTCCAGTCGTTCTTCTTATTTCTTTTTCTCAATTTAACTCTAGAAAACAAAATTTGTTACGAAATTGTCCATGTGTGCCATTTAGCTTTACTTTCAATGTATTGATTGAATTCAAATTATTCAATGTTATATCATTATAGTATTTTTAATATCGCTGAATGCTTTTTCATGGTTACGTAATAAATCGTTAATTTGTTGATTTTTTCACGTGCTTGACCAAGAAAATCTTCGCGTAATTTTTGATATATACGACTTGTTTGTCTGAAATAGATAGAGAAGATATAGAATAATTATGTGATGTTATAACTGATCGTTGACCAGAGAGAGGAAGGTCGAAGTTTTGACGGAAAGTGATCAGGAAAAAAAACTAAAACGTTTTTTAAACCTATACACTGCATTTTACTTGAACCAGCAGCGCAACCAAAATTTTTTGGACGCTCGGGCAAATTGCTACCGAGATAAGAAAAAATTGGGTAAAACATTTGTTTGCAGGTGAAAGTTGCGACAAAAACACTAACAGTAGGGGTTGACATTCCTTGTTTCCCCTAATCAGAGCTACGGTCGTTCGCACGTACCTTCGGCAAAGTTCTGACCGCTTCTTGCTGTGCTAATTCTTGATCTTTCATTTGCACTTTGAATTCTCATTTTTCTTTCCATGTAGTACTTTCAGTTTCATTGTGTGCTTCCTGTGCCACTTTTAACTCTGCTAATGTTTTGGTTTTTAATTCGGCTATATTATTTGGTGTTCATATAATCACTAAAAATGCACCAGGTGGATACTATCTCGAATACGACTGCTCTCTTACTTTGACTTCTGTTTAATGTTGTTCTTCGGCATCTTCTAATTCACGATCTTTATTTCTTAATTCAGCTTTTTTCTCTTCTAATTGTCGTTTTGTTATTTTCCAAAATGTGCTGATTCTATCACGCTCTAATTAAAAATCATTTCACTCTTCTCGCTCGTTCGCTAATTCTTCACATATCCACCGAAAATGATCTTTCAATCCTTTTTTGGTCATTTCTTGCACAGATAGTCCATCGATGATCGTAGGTGCTTAGACGGTTTTTTTTCTTTCCCTTTCCTTTTCCATCCTGAAATAAAAAGAATAGAGATAGTTACTACCTTTCACCAACGAAAAATAATTCATATTGATAAATTTAAACTATAAGAAAGTTTTTGGATCAATAAGAAAAGAGTACCATTTTGCTAACGCAATAAACCAAATAAACCCACGTGTACAGTATGACAGATGTGTATTCTCCGTACACTAAATCTATTCACTACTTTCAGTTTTCTATTTATGAATGAAAAAATCTTACCATTTTTGCCGATCTCAACTGAATCAAAGCACAAAAATATCTAAAAATATTCAGAAAATCACACCATCAAACAATTGAGAATCGGACTATTGGTGTTCCTTAAAAACAAACCGAAATAAAAATTTTATAGATGGTTTTCAGCACGGACTGAAAACTAAAAAAAATCACAATGAAATTTTTTTCTTTACTTTAAAACGCAAAGTGAACAAGATGGACTAACTGCGAATTTTCCCGACGCAGTAGTATTCGAAAGAGAAACTTATTGTGATTGAAATTTTAAATCCTTTTTATTGCTAAATTAATCCACTGTAACTGCTTTTAAGCATAATCTTTTATACAAGTATCTGCTGTGCTCTCCGAAAAATAGCCGATTGTTCAGTCCGACATCTATTGTCTGTTAAAGTATAAAACTTTTTCTAGAAAAATTTGACAGACAGCTGTAGTTGACGCCATTCGATAGCCAAACCTTAGCAAATCTTCTCATATGACTAGTAAGTGTAGAATCTTTTTAACATATGGTTTCTGGAGGATCTTTCAAAAACTGGAATTTAATTCCAAAACTTGAAATACAAATACTTAGGTTTTTCTTATTGATTAGATAGACTAGTATAGGCTATTTCAGTAAAATAGGAGTTAATCGATTCTCTTGATCTATCATGATTTAGTATGGTACCGGACATATTGGGAGTCTCAAGATCGGTCTTTTCTATCGAGTAGGAAACTTAGAGATGAATGCATATCAATATTAAGAAAAAATTAAAGTTCATTTAGAGTCGCGGAAAAGTGCTTTTTGGTATTCAGCACACTCGAAAACCTATAATATACGTCTATCTCCACCTGAATATTTGAGACATTTTATACCACCTCGCAGGTTCTGCTTTTAGGCTTTTATTTTCTTGCTTTGGATCTGGTATCCCTGGTAAAAACCTTATTCTATCACATTCTGCCACGCCTAAACCGTCAAATCTTAGGAGAGTCGGTTCACTCTCATTTTGTAGAAAATATCATGAACTAACATCAGAAGTCAAAGATAGATGGTACCGCCTGTTTTTATTACAACATGAAATTTGGAAATTTTACAGCGATAGTAGAGATTTACGCATCAAATTTACGGAGATCTAGTTTTGACCTAGTATAGTAGGAACCCTTGCAGACATTAAATTGTAGATTTTCTGGGCAACATCAACTGAAATAAGTAGAGCACGAGAGGAAATAAGTATTGTTTTTTCGTCTGAATAAGTCGCTTTTGTCAGGTGCTTGATAATATTAATAGACAAAGAGTTTGCTGTGCATTTTCGTGTGACTTTATTTTTCTCGCTTCCATTGGTAATACCACATCAAATCATAATGTAAAAAGAAACAAATGAATGAGCTGTAAAAAAAAATGACATAAAAAAAAGTGAGTGACCACACTGCAAATTCATGTTTCGTATAAAACGGGCGACATATTCACCCATTTATGTGTGTCATCATCCATCTAAGGGAAGAAGGAAGGGCCTTCATACTTGTCGCTGAAATGGCATGAACTAATTAAAAAACAGGATAATTCTGTGAAAAGTTTCTCGTCTGAATTTCTCGCTAAATTATATGAACCTTTGTTTTCGGATGCAGTTGAATTTAACAGCACAATTTCCTTTACTTACACTGTCAGAAATGAACCCACTTTGTTCGCTGGTTTCACCTGGATACTAGCGAACAAAGTGGGTTCATTTCTGACAGTGTAGTGTGTATATTCTGACCGTTAATATTTTTCAATCAAAATTTGTCAACCTCCTCTTCTGTCTTCATCAAGGATTGTTTAAAAGAATTAGAAAGAATGAATCATCTACTCTCCTCAAGCATTCAACCACTTAGCTTCGAGAATAAGTTAGAGATCTCTCCTCTTATCTTACGTTAAGCGGTTCAAGCGAACAGTGTCAATGCACTGAACGAGTTCAGACGTTTTAAAATGAATTTTTTTAACCAGTTTTCATGTTAAAGATGTTAATGGCCTCTACCCGTATAAATTTCTATTTTTCTGTATTAAAATGAATTCTTTACATTGTATTCCAAACCGCATGTACAATCGCTAGTTGACTCATCGTGAGTCTCATCTTGGCTGGAATCGAAATGAGATTTGATTACATCTTTAGCTAACTGGATCTCTTTAGAAATGTTTCCAGCAATGCTGCCTTTTATTAAATCCGTGTTTTCTAGATCTTACACAGAATCATCGACAGATGTTCCTGTTCAGCTATTTTTACATGACCAGATGTTTTTGAAGAAATTTCTTGTGTCATTTCTTTCACAGAGACTAGTCCGAATTATACTGATTCTTCAAATAATATGTTCATAAAAAACACTTATGATTAGATCGTTGAAAAAGTAAAGCAGAAATTTGAATGGCTATAGTCAGGCATTTTCAGATATATTAAATTTTTGAATATACTTAAAAGGATAGGCAGTTTTATTGAACTAAAAATTTGAGAATTTCTTTTTGAGAAAAAGCTTAAAAAATTCATAACTTCTTCAATGAGTTCGTGAAACGCCAGGAGTGGGCGTATTTTGTAGTTCAGCTTCTACATTAGGCTATATTCAACTCAAAATCGAAAATTTTTCTGTTTTAAAACGAGGAAGAGACTATCCTTAAATTAATCGATTTTAACAATATTGAACTGTGTTTGTTACACCGATGCTAAAGACGTTGTCGTTTATGCCGATTTAGTTCTTTTTTCAGATTTTTCAATTAAAATATGCAGAATTCATCCGATCGAACACCATCATCAGAACCAAGTGATTATTATCAAAATACGTTTAAAACTACACCCAATGATATTTTAACACATATGGATAATACAGATTTTATTGAAGAAGCCAAATTAGCTATTGGCGATATCGGTTCGTGTGTTCAGAGCTCCTCATTATCGACAAAATTAAATGATTATAATAAACCGTCCATAGCCTATTTAAACATGCGTTCAACCGACAATCAAGAATATTGTATTGAATTATCAAAACATGGTTATCGAGTTGTGGGAAAAAAATTTGATGATAATAGATGTCCATCACCAACCTATTATGAGTCATTACAAGCATTATTTACACAAAAAAGTCAGTCATATGTACAAAGTTTTGCCGATAATTTACGGGCAAAATTAAATGCAGAATTACAACATGAGCAATTAAACAAAGAAACTGAAGAAAAAAATTAAAAACAATAGATTTGTTCTTGTTGTAAAATTATAAATCAAAAAAAATTTTGTTTTACCTTTCTAAATTTATTTTTATTCTGATCGTCTTATCCTGCCTTATCCATTTTTACTTAATTTGAAAATATCGCAAGTCTGATAATTAAAAGTGCTCTAAGATAAATTTGTTTGGTTTTTCTCAAGTTAAGGAGTGAAAGTCTCAATTATTTGATTAGATTGATAAAAATATCATCATTTTAAATGAATTTTTTTCTTTCTAAATTTTATGACTTACATTCCTTTTATCTTCAATATAGTAATATAGAAACTATGCCATAGTTGTCTTGTATATACTTTTCCATTAATGAATATTTTAATTACTATATACATTATTAACATAATAGACTCATTTTTTGAATTTTTGATTAAGTTTAGAACGAATATTGACACATCTGTGGGATTCACTATTGTATACTTAAAACTTTAAATTGTCAGATTAATTTCAAATTTCAGATCTAACATGGTGTAATTCAGTCGACAATATTCAAAAGATGGCTGTTCTATTTGTACTGAGAAAAAAGTGAGAATACCGAACGAAAATGGATTTCAGCAAAAATATTCTAATTTTAGCTATAAATATCAAAAGACAAAAGCTACTACTCCATTCACTCTAAGTCTAATCAAATCACTTGAAACTTTCGGAGCGAAATCAGTTATTTTTCCTTTACATGCTGACCAGAAGTGGAGAAGTTGAAAACTTTTTTCTCTTATCCTTGACCTTGAATTTTTGTAGAAAATGAAGTTCTGAGAGTATCAAACGATGTAATTGAACTTTGAGCGAACTGAGAATTTTTTGTCTTTTTGACACAGTTAAAATTAGAATATTTTTATCAAAACGTATGTACATTGCGTTTTCTCATCTTTTTCTTAACACAAACATTTTCATGAGATTCAGCTTAGTCGAAAATCTATGTTGCATGTATTAATAAGATTTTAAAATTTAAAATCGTATGATCAGAGTAGTTTCTTTAATTATGAATACGTTAGAATTTTTATCTTTTATTATAACGAAGAGAAGAGGACAATATGTCTGTTGAACATACTGTACCATAACTTTAACATAGGCATAATTTCAATTGAAAGACTTAGGTAAATGAATAATCTGGGATTTTTGTCTATAGCAACAAATTATCTTTTCCCTAAAGTTTTTACCATTAAAATATGTAAACTGAATTAATTATTGTAAATGAAACAATGTATTCATAGTATATATAAATATTTATTTGTTTTACTTTTTATTTCAATCATTTTGTTAGTCTGAATAAATATGAGATAAATCTAATTTTTTTCATATATTGATTGATCCTGATATAAGAGAATTTACTGATTTAGTTTAACATATTCTATAATTTTTGTTTTTGTAAGATAATGTTTTCTTTAATTTATCGATTTTATTTTCATTTACCTGCTAGTCGCATTCATTATTATCTTACACGATCAATCACAACATCAATTTATCCACAAACGGTTTCTGATATATTAAAAACAAAACCAATTGGTTCATCTGTGAGTCTAATTGGTTCATTAGAAAATGTACGAAAATTGAAAACACAATATTTCCTAGATTTTATTGATGGTTCATCTCTCAATCATTTACAAGTTATTGTTTCTGGGAAAAATTTACCAGATGTAGGAAAATTAAATTTTGGTAGTACAATTCGTGTTAATGGAACAATTGTACGAAGTACACATCCACAACAAGAAATTGAACTACAAGCAAAACAAATTGATATTATTGGATCATGTGATGCATTTAACTATCCGCTCAAATGTAAAACAAAACATTCATTTCATTTTCTAAGATCTTGTGAACAATTTCGTGCACGCGATCGAATGTATGGCGGAGCACTATTAAGTATTCGAAGTGAACTATTTTATTTGATTCATAATTATTTTCATGAACATAAATTTACTCATATACAAACACCGTGTATAACATCAAGTGATTGTGAGGGTGGTGGAGAAACGTTTAAAATTAAAGAATATTATTCACAATCAACGTCTCAAATGAAAGAATATTTTGATAAACAAACGTATCTGACAGTGTCTGGTCAACTTCATTTAGAAGCGGCGGCAAGGTAAATACATTTTTATAAAGGTATCACTTTACTATCTATTTCTTTAACTTTATTATTTAAATTTAGTGGCTTATCACGTGTATATACATTGAATCCGGTATTTCGAGCCGACAAAAACTTATCACGTTTTCATCTTGCCGAATTTTGGATGTTAGAGGCTGAAATAGCAGGTAAGCAATTTTAAAAACGATACAAACTGTTGTTTTTTCAAGCAAATAAGAAGATATATCCTCTCAGAGATTTCGGTTTCTTGATCAAATGTCGTTTTTTTCTATTTTGGCAGTAAAACGAAAAGTTGAATGACAGAAATAAATAAAAATATCACATCAGCGAAAAGAATGATACAAATTGTTAGATATTTATTTGAATTTTGAGTGACATTTACTCCTTTCAGTCGAGTGACTATATCGGATCAGATAGGATTGCACGGAATTTGTTATAATAAGTCTCTTCCCTAATTTCTGTCTCTAACTCATCGTCACAAAGTATACAGGCTTTGGTCATTGATCAAAGATGTAAGCAGTATGGCTGGAGTGGTGGGAGTAGAACACACTATAGTAGTACACAGGATGGGGATAGGACCTCGTCAGTTTTGATCTCAGTTAGTCCAGTAGTAAATTCTCTGATGTTCGATTCCATCGGCTGTTCTCTGGTGTTTTGCTTCTTTCTAGAAGTGTATTGAGTCTGAGAACTCCGCTCAAAGGTCGCTAATTTTTAACACTCAAAACCCCCAGGTTCTAAGACTAGCTAAAAATCTAGAAAAACAGCAATTTTAGCTAAGCCTGACACCTTTTCATTGAGTTTTATCACTTGTAGCACTAGTCTCAGATAGAACAGAAAACGGTAATTAAGTGTGATGTAAAAGTTGGGTAGAGCGTGAGGATTTTGAATGTCGAAAATTAGCAGTATTTGAGATCAGATCCCAAGACTTGGTACATCCCTACTTTCTGTTCTATCCTTATCTCTCTTATTCAATCAGGTTTAAATCAATTAGCAGCTAATCCATTTTATACTGTGTGATACTTTTATCTCTTTAGGAATAACAAAACTTGAGCAATTATTAGATATTTACAAGCATATTTTACAGACAGTGACTGCAAATTTAAGACAAAATTGTCGCGAACAATTCCGTCTACTCGAAGAATATGATATAAAACCGGAATTCATTGATCAATTTTTTCTTGATAAATATTCAATTGTGACTTACGATGAAGCTGTTGGTTATTTGAAAAAAAGTGACGAATTTCAAGATTTTCCGAAAAATGGAGATTTTACACGCGCACATGAAAACTATCTATGTCAGAAAATTATGAATAATCAACCATTTTTTCTAATTAATTATCCAAAAGAAGTAAAACCCTTTTATATGCTTGTGAATGACGATGAATGTACCGTGGCTAATTTTGATTTTATATTTCCATCGGTTGGTGAGTTATCGGGTGGAAGCTTACGTGAACATCGATATGAACGTTTACACAAAACAGTAGAGTTACTGAAATTGGATGATGAATTAGATTGGTATTTGGATTTGAGACGATATGGTTCAATGCCAACTGCTGGTTTTGGATTGGGTATTGAACGATTTTTAATTGCTCTAACAGGAATCGATAATGTTCGAGATGTTATACCCTTTCCAAGATATTATCAACATTGTATGTCGTAGTAAAAGCCTTACTAATTGCTGTTATATGAATTGTATAGTAAAAAAACAGACAACTTTTATTCTTTATTTTAACATTAGGATATTTCTGTGTGTATGAGTTGCAATTAGGCTGAGATCTTAAAAGTTATCGGTTGATATCTATCCACTGGCTAACTTTGCTCAGACTAGAATGAACTATTTCCAGCTTGGAATATTATTAAAACTTTGCAATGAAATGATCATAACTCTCATAAAGGATAGAGTGAATAGATCGATGAAAAACCAATGTTACTATCTGCAAATACCCGTAATGGTTGTTATTCGTTTTAAAAATTGTTCCTTCGTTTGATGATGTATAGATGTGAGTTTTAGTTTAATCTCGCAATGTCTACTGTCTAGCTTTCTCTTGAAGCGACCAATCCTAGTATACCGCTTGGGAACGTAACGGTCCTCTGCGCTGTTGAAGTTTTTTAGAATTTTTCTTCTCTGCTTCACGTCAAAAATACATCAGTACGAAATTTTTCACTTCGCAAAACAACAAAAAAACAAGCATTTGCGAACCTGCTGACTTTTGAGAAATTTTTTGGCTACCTTAATGTCATTTTTTTTTAATTTTATTTTTGACTCATATCGGTTAATTCTGTTTGATACTATAGGAATCTGTCCAAATTAGATCACCTTCGAAATTTTAGAAACGAAGAAAATGTTGAAAAAATCTGATACGAGAGCAAAGTAAAATGAACTTTTCCTGAGCCGTGATTTTTCAGAACTTTTCTTTTTATCAAAAGAAAATCCAAAATGTTCTCTACAAACCAGGCCGTCTTTGATTTTTTTTTCAAAAAATTTGTAGCAGCAAAAATTGTAGTGTAAACAAATGTGTAGAGGAGGGTAGTTCTCTGATTTCAGGAGTCCAAAAATGTCACGGCGTTACGCTATATATTTTTGAGATAAAAATGAAACAACCAACGCACGCTTGTTGGTAATTTTATCACATCTGCGAAATGCTTAAGGGCAATATTGCTCAAGTTTGCCCAAGCTGTATAGTAGAAGTCCATGGGAAAACAAAATCGAGGAATCAATACAAGCTATTCTGTTTATGCTTAGTGTAAGAAATCAAGAGGCTTAAGTGAGCAGCTTCAAAGAAATACACCAGATTCTCACTAAAACATTTAGATCTTTTCTAGGTTAATCGACTTATTAAAAAATAAGATGGACTTATCTAGACAAAAAAAGCAGCTTGTGGACTTTAAAGATCAGAAATAACTAAGGTTAAGAGAGTTTCGCTTTTGACCCTACCCAATCTCGGTAAAAACATTACTCTCAGAATTTGTATTAATTATCAAAACAGCATCCGTTAAAACGGATAGCCGAAAAATGCGAAAAACTTTTTTCTCTTACTTCCCGAGTTTTTAGGGTTCTCACCAAAACTTAGAATTACTGTGAGGACTGACAAAATTCAGTTGCATGAAAAAGTCTAACCAATCTCAAGTGTGTGGGACTCAAATCCATTTCTAGAAAGCTCAAATATGGTCAGAAAATATTAAAAGTCTTATCTAAAACAGTCAGATCTCTCGAACAAACACGATGATGACACTATTAAAATCGATGATGGCACTATTAAGTACCTTAAAATAGTGACATACGGTAGCGTCATCAGCGACTTTTCCCATTAAGAACCAATTGTCCGAAAACTTTGATCATTTCCAACGGAATATATCATAACTGAAATTTCCATCCAATGAATTGGAGTCCCAGACATTAAAAAAGAGATGGCGCTTATTTACTTTCGATAGTATGAGTCACAATTGTCAGGCCAGACGCTAAATAATAACATTCTGAATTCAACTAGTCAAGTGTAAGATATCCATATAATGGTTAAGATAAGCTAGGAGCAAATCACTACATTCAACGTCATTCTAATGCTTTTTCGCGCTGAGTGTGGCGATGCGCTCCCAGCGTTTGCTCCTAGTTTATCTTAACCCATATAATGCGTCTTTTAAGATACATCACATTTGTTACAGTGCACGGACCGTGATCGGATTTCACTTCACCTAACAGACCATTGTTTTCCATAATTTAAATGTACTACAAATCATTTTGTAACTGAGAACATTGGACATATCTGATGCTTTATCCATATTACAGTTTGCTTTCATATTCTGTGTGCGAGTATGAATAAAAAATTGATAATGTATTCTAAACGATTTATGCACTTTTAGTCGATCAATAGAAAATGAAAGTAAACAGTCCAGTTTTTACCCTAATGGATCACAACCTTGTTTAAATGGCTGACAATTGTTTCTTTCTAGTGAACATAATTCTATTTTTACGTTTTAAGATCGTTGATAGCGGTACCATTCTATTGTATTACGATCAATAGTTTTTGAAATTAAATCAATCTTAACAACAAAAACAATGGTAAAATCGAAATCGAATCGTGATAACAAGGATAGTGACTCAGAAGAAGAAGAATATATAGTAGAAAAAGTATTAGGTAAAAAAGTTGTAAATGGAGTAGTGAAATATAGATTAAAATGGAAAGACTATCCGTCGTCCAAAAATACCTGGGAATCAGAAAAGAATCTCAATTGTCCAGAACTAATTAAAGAATATGAAGATAGTATTGGCAATAAAAATAATGATGAACCAAATCAACCATCAACATCTACGTCAACAGTTTCCAAAAGGTCAACAAAAAAACGAGTAAAATCATCATCAAGTTCTAGCGATGAATATTATGATTTCGAAGATGATAGAGATGAAATAGAATCGAACGATAACTCAGTAACTAATCGAAAAAGTAAACGTGTAAAACATTCTGGTCAAGAACATGATGAATCAAATCAAAAACGTCGTCATTCAGGTAGGCTTCGTTAATAAAATACGGTAAATAGTGACTTCAATTTTTACTGGTATACCCGTTAATACTGATCACACAACTAGTAAACTATTACTTCTCCATTCAAGATCGTAAAAGTGCCAAACACTCAAATTCAAAATTTTCTACAGCTTTCGAGAGTTCCGATGAAGATTATGATGAAGAATTTGTTGCTAAAAAGTCGAAAAAGAGTTCAAAAAAAAGCAAAAAGAAATCAACAAAAAATCAAAATGATGAAGACGACTCTGTATTAATTCTTCGGTCAGTATTCTTTAATATTCGATAGTATTGCTTTTACTATGATCGTTTTCTGTTGACTGTTCTAGAGTTTCACCATCGACATCGAATGCTGTCAAATCAGATGATAATGAAAATAATGATGAGAAGAAAAATGGCAATGATACCGATCCATTCGATGGTGGAAAACAAAAATTAGAGGAAATAATTCGTGTTCGACGTCTAAATCAAATTGATGATATACAATTTCTTGTTAAATTAGAAAATATCACAAAACCACTATGGGTATTATCAAATTATGTGAATAAGGTAAGTGATTTTTTTCTTTTCGATTATTTACTATAAATATATTTGTTATATATTCTTCTTTCTTAGGCATATCCTCAAGATGTAATCAATTTTTGGGAAAACAAGGTTGAATTTGTGATGGGTTAATTAAAAATACTTCGGCGCAAGTTATTCATTATTTTGTTTTTTGTTTTTCTTGTATTCTAAAGTGAATTGTTTAATATGTGTTTTTCTTTTTTTCACATTGCTCAATGTTACACACTATGTCCGGTTGAAAATGAGCTAAAATTTTATTGTGCATTAGAGGCTCCTTGGCCTTTCTCTTGGTAGAATATATGTAGTCACATTTATTTATTGTGATCTGTATTCTTTTCTATGAGATAATACTACTTTTCTAAAAACTAATTGTAAATAAAACTCTCTCATATTTGTTGTTATTAAACGTAGTGATTAACAACGATCAACATTTTACTTGAAAATGTCTGCATGTTCTATGAAAATCAACACTATTGATAGAAAATATAAAAAAAATAACTGTTTGCTTTTTTGGTTGTTATTATCTCTACGCGTTGTTCTTAATTTCATTTTGTTTTTCCAGTTTTACTTTTTTTTTATTTGAAATATTTGTTTTCTATGCAAAGGATATTTTTTGTCTACCGTGGAATTCAAAATAGGACTAGACACTCTTTTATCGTCTGTTTAATAAACGTTTTGTTGTGCATCTTGAAATTTTTTTTCTCTGTACAGAGTATAATCTCTTTAACGTTTTTTCTTTAAATTGTGCATTTTTCTTGTCTGTATGTAATTGTAACATATCAAGGATTTTTTTGACAATTGTAATACCTTGAATTGTAGTTCTTGTATTTGAATATGAGAAGAAGAAAAATAATAAAATATAGCACGAATAGACAGCGTTTTATCAAAAAGTAATAATAAACAAACATGCTGAATCCTGTACGAATTGAACAAACTGAAAAAATGAGACTATCTCATAATTTTCTCAAATAGAGAATATGCTAACTTCGTCTATTGGAAACAGATGGTATACTATATGATTGAAAATGCCTACAAGTCACACATGAATCATTCAATGGGCGAGATGACTCTTCTACTGCTCATTAGTGATCTGACCATTGAAACATGAAATACTGTAATAAACAAAAGATTATTCAGAATTTTTAAGAAAGGAGAGAAAAGGTAGATATTCATATTTTACAATTCATGTATGCATCATTATTTTATTGTCCAATTGCACCTGATGATGTCCTTCCGTTATAATGTTTCGGTGCAATATCGTTACTCACTCAAATTTTAGCGGAAACTGGCTCTGCTAACAATAACAGAATATTTGAATAGTTTGTCGTCCGTGTTTTAAGAATTAGTCGGAATTCAATTTACCAGTTCTGATTCTTTTAGATTTCAATAAATTTAATATGCCTTATCTATTCAACGATTTACTCGTTCCAAGATTGAAAGAGGTGATGTCTGTAGGTTTTCATATATATATGTCGAGGTTGACTCTAAAACTCAGTTGCCTTTAAAAGTCAACCAAATGGAAGCCAGTCGATTTTTAAATTTTGAAGTCAACTAGTTTACTCTTCAATTCGAGAGTCATTTG